GGGGGGGGGGGAGATGTCCCCAGGGGGCTCTTCTTCATCACCCCTTTGCTCTACTCTTGCACTCTGAATCGACTCTGTTTTTTTGGGGGGGGGGGCAATGGACCAGCTTTCCCGTGATGTAAAGAAACACTTCCTTCTCCTTCTTGCAGGCCGGGGTGTCCTTCGAGGAGGTGGCCGTGGATTTCACCCGTGGGGAGTGGGCCCTGCTGCACCCACCCCAGAGAGCTCTCTACAAGGAAGTCATGCTGGAGAACTTTGGGAACGTGGCCTCTCTGGGTGAGGGTCCTTTTCTCCTTCTTGCAGTGAGGAGTGAGCGTAAGGAAGCCCTTAAAGAGGAAGGACGTGATCGGGCTGTCTGCCCCCTGGTCCCAGTGGCTGGTCTCTGCCTCCCTCCGTGATCCTCCCTCTGATGTGGGAAGGGTCCTGTGCTCTCCTTGGAGAGAGGGAGAGCCCCTGCCTGGCAGTTTGGGGCCTGAGCCAAGTGAAAGGGCATCAGAAGAGGTGCCAGGGGGGTGCCAGGTCTGGAGGTGGTGGGGTGGTCTAAGCAGGGGCTTCCCTCTAGAGATGTGAAGGATCGGGAAAAACCTGGAAAAATTCAGGGGGGAAACTCCCCCCCCCCATTTTCCCCCTGAAGCCTTTTTTGTTTTTTTCCGGAAAATTGAAAAAAGGAAAGGGGAAAAAAATTGATTACGGAACGTTTTGTTTTAACACGATGAATAAAATATGTTAAGACAAGGTGTTCAAATATTTTTTCAAATCATTTCTAAAACATATGTATGGTGTCAATCTTAATTTCTGTGCACTGGGGACAAGCAAGTCCTAGGTTACAAACTGAACTCTCCAATGCAAGAGCAAGATGCATTTCTTCCTTTAGGAGGTGCCCATTCATTGAAACTTAGTCCCACACTCCCTTCTGTACACTTCCCCCATCTTCAATTCTTTTTATGAGAATGGGTTTTTTATTTTTATTTAATACGGTGGAGAGGAAATATGAATAATTGTTACTTCTGGATTTTTAAAAATTGTTTTGTGGAGGGGTTTTTTTTTGTCTGTTCCACATAAACTAGTAAACAGTTCAGGAGATGGTTGCTCCATTTGTTACAATTACAAATAAATATTACAGAAAAGTAAATTCTCTTTGTAATAATTGTTTGGATACACTACTTTTTTAATAGGCTAGTTGTGATAATTTCATGCCAAGTAAAATTGTCCATAGTTATATTTTATGTTCCTAAAGTAGCAGAATGACTTTCAAACTGGAAAAGAAAAAAGAAGTGCTAATGTAGCATTTTTTGTTCAATGTTTCCAGAAAAAAAAACCAAGGAAAAAAATCCTGTTTTTTCCCCCCGAGCTTCAAAATTTCCAGAAATTTTACATCTCTATCCCTCCAGCCTGGGCCTGGCCTTTCCTGGCTGCAGAAGGAACTCCGCTCTCTTTTCTGTCATTTTAATTCTCAGATGGCATCTCCGTCTCAGCCTGGCAGAGAACAGGCACAGAACTGCCGGTGTTATGCCAGCACCACGTGGACTAGCCATAACTGGGCATCTTAATCATCAAAGATTTTAGTCATTGTTTGGTGTAGAGTGTGTATGTGGAATTTTGGTTAGCCTCAGACTTCAGAGTTATGGATGATAATCCGACAGTTTATAGTTGCAAGATGCCGAAGGAAATTAAGGGGAAATAAAGAATAAGCAAGTGATGCTCTGTCATCTTGGTGCTTGGGGGGGGGGTCAACAGTGGGAAGGGCTTCTAATGTCCTGGCCCCACTGGTGGACCTCCTGATGGCACTGGTATTTCTGGCCACTGTGGGATACAGAGTGTTGGACTGGATGGGTAATAATAATAATAATAATATAAAAATAAAGTTTTTGGGATTGTGAGGTAATAAAAAGGGTAATAATAGGAAAATAAAATAAAAATGCAAGTATTAACTATGACCCTATATTGAACTGGTAGGATACAGGAGAATGGATAGAAGTTAAAACTGCATAAGGAGAAGAATAGGAGTTTACCAAGAAGCTACATCACTGATATGAAATGTCAGCTTTGAAATACAGTATATAATGCCTTAAAAGGTATAGGAAAGATAGTTTTATTGTTCAACACAGATTTGATATAAAGGAGGATGATATGAACTAAAAATATATTGTAGGGGAGTTGGTTGAGTTATTCTGTGCTGCTAGAAAGGATAAATGTTGTTGTGGTATTTGTATGCATGTGATTTTTCAATGAAATTGTATGGATGTTCAATATAGGCTTATAAAAACCAATAAATATATTAAAAAACAACAACAAAGATTTTAGTCATTGTTGAATTTGGAATTACCCAAATATATATTTTTAAGTGTTTTGAGTGCCAGCCAGTGTTTTCTCTAAGCCGAGTTAGTGTGAGCTAGCTCACAGATGTTTAGCCTCCGGCTCACCCTTTTTTGTCTTAGCTCAGGAAGGAGGGCTCCAGAGCAAACTAATTGATGCGGTAGCCAAATCGCTGACTCACAACTTTAATGCCAGCAGCTCACAAAGTAGAATGCTTGCTCACAAGACTCCACGGCTGAGAGGGAACATTGCTAGTCATTCTTGATTTTGGAATTACCCAAATATATATTTTAAATGTTTTGAGTGCCAGCCAGTGTTCCTTCTAAGCTGAGTGAGTGTGAGCTAGCTCACAGATTTTTGTCTTAGCTTAGGAGGGACGGCTGCAGGACAAACTCATTTATGCCGTAGCCAAATGGCTCGCTCACCACTTTAATGCCAGGAGCTCACAAAGTAGAATGTTTGCTCACAAGACCCCACAGCTGAGAGGGAGCATTGGTTGCCAGCTGCCTTTAAAGTTCTCCTTTCTGTCTTGCTTCAGTCTATCCCTTTATGCTTAATAAAAGTCAACCGTTTTAAAAGAATGGTCGCGCTACTTTGTGGGAATTCAGGTGGGTGGCTGTGTCGGTCTGAAGCAACAGAACTAAATCTGAAGGGCTCCTTTTAAGACCTCCCAGGGGCACCTTTAAGAACAACCAAGTTTGATTCAAGGTATACGCTGTCATGTGCATTCACACTTCTTCAGATACAGTGAAGTGGAAACTACCAGTACGTACTAGCGTACAGCATAATGAAGATGTTCAACAGATTCAAGGACCAGACAGGAATAACAAGCTTAGCTTATACGGTGTCCATTTGTTTGGACTCAAACTTTGTTCTGCTTTGTGGGGGGAATGCTGCACCCATCTGCAATCTGTGCATACAGAGGCTGAGGTCCCAAGAGGCCCAGCGTTGAGTGCACTTCTGTGCATGGCCACATGCCCATGCTCCTGCGGAGTCTCAGGATAACAAAAGAGGGGTGAGCCTTCACCCCATACGGTACTCCATCCCACCCCCTATTACTTGCCTGTAGTGCAGGGCAGTGTTCCCTCTAAGCTGAGTTAGTGTGAGCTAGCTCACAGTTTTTTAGCCTCCAGCTCACACATTTTTGTCTTAGCTCAGGAAGGATGGGGCTCCAGAGCAAACTAACTTATGTAGTGGCCAAATTGCTCGCGCACAACTTTAATGCCAGTAGCTCACAAAGTAGAATTCTTGCTCAGAAGACTCCACAGCTTAGAGGGAACATTGGTGCAGGGGTGTCAAACTCATTTGTTATGAGGGCCGGATCTGACATAAATTAGACCTTGTCGGGCCGGGCCATGCGTGTCATAAACAATGTTCCCTCTAAGCTGTGGAGTCCTGTGAGCAAAAATTCTACTTTGTGAGCCACTGACAGTAAAGTTGTGAGCGGGTGATTTGGACACTGCATAAATTATTTTGCTCTCCTTCCTGAGCTAAGACAAAAATGTGTGAGCCAGAGGCTAAAAAACTGTGAGCTAGCTCACACTCACTCAGCTAGTTACATAAAATGTAATGCCAGGTAGCGGAGATATAAACAGACACAAAGGGTATTTTTTTTAACTTAAAAACACACTTAAAACATTAGCACCCTTGCAATATTCTGTTTATTTAGCAGTGCCTGATAACTGACACCTCTTGCACTGAATCATCGCATCAAAATGCCTGTGCTCTTCCAATCCTGAGTCTGCTGTTCAGGTGTGTATCTGTAAGCTGCATAAATTATTTTGCCCTCCTTCCTGAGCTAAGACAAAAATGTGTGAGCCAGAGGCTAAAAAACTGTGAGCTAGCTCACACTCACTCAGCTAGTTACATAAAATGTAATGCCAGGTAGCGGAGATATAAACAGACACAAAGGGTATTTTTTTTAACTTAAAAACACGCTTAAAACATTAGCACCCTTGCAATATTCTGTTTATTTAGCAGTGCCTGATAACTGACACCTCTTGCACTGAATCATCGCATCAAAATGCCTGTGCTCTTCCAATCCTGAGTCTGCTGTTCAGGTGTGTATCTGTAAGCTGCAAACCTACAATGACGCAGCAGCAGCAGAACTGGACGAAGAAGCAGAAGACAGCCAGTTCCACAGAACAGAAGCCCTCCAGGGGCCTGATCTGGCCCCCGGGCCGCATATTTGACACCCCTGCTGAGGTGTGTTTCTGGGGGGGGGGACATTCAATCTGGCTTGGAATGGTTGAATTTATGGGCACACAGAAGAGGTTTAATTTTGTGTGCTTGTGTGCTTTCCTAATAAAACAGGACCTCTGACTGCCAAACCTGACCTCATATATCAGCTGGAAGAAGAGGAAGAACGGTTTCTCCTGGGCTCTGATGAAGAGGACGGATTGGCAGGTAGGGGCTTAAGATGTCTATCTCAGGAGTGTGTGTTGCCTGCACCTTCCTTCCAAGGGCTGGTGAATGTCCGTGGCCTCCTTTATCCTCACAGTTTTCCCTGAAAAGAGCTTGGGGGAACTGTGGAGGCCGAAATGGTACCTGTGGATCTTCGACCCAGGGCAAGAGGCAGTTTCCTTCTGCCTGCTTTCATGGCCCTTACGCCAAGTGAAGTTCTTGGTAAGTCAACCAGCACGAATGTCCCACAAACTTTCAAGAAGTGGAGGTTGATGCTAGTTTGTGAATGGATACAATTCCAGACAGATAGTCTCCCCTCAAACAATATGTTTACTAAACTTCAAAGCAATGGGGGGTTAGAATTCTCCAGTCTTTGACTCACCAGTCTTGGAAACACTGTTGTCAGTTTCAAACTCATTGTGTCAGTTTCAAGAGGCCCCCCCCCACCTTTTGCCACAGAGTTTGTAAAATCAAGATGGTATTAACCAATCTGTAGCTTGTGGCAATTAGATGGAGGACAGGACTTCACTGGGACAGCGTTTGGCTGAGAGACAAAGGAGAGATAACCCTCTGGCCTGATTGCTTCAGAGACGGTGAGATCTTGGTGGTTTGCTGCCCTTGGATTTATGGGAAGGAGATACCTGGGTATTAAAAAGGGACCCAGCCAGTCTTTGGGTCGGCTGAGCGGCTTCCAGGGCCGCCATGTTTTGAGAATTCAAGTCACAAGCAATCGTCAAGGGGAACCAAGATAAACCAGCCCTTGACCAGATGAGACATGGCCGGCCACATGAAGAAAGAAGAAGAAGAGAAGAGATTGGATTTATACCCCGCCTTTCACTCGGAGTCTCAGAGCGGCTTACAAACTCCTTCCCCTCCCCCTCCCCACCACAGACACCCTGTGAGGCAGGTGGGCCTGAGAAGAAGAAGAAGAAGAGATTGGATTTATACCCCGCCCTTCACTCGGGGTCTCAGAGGGGCTTACAAATATTGAAAGTCTTTTTCCAGACACCAAGCCTTTGCATTCTTGGGTTGTGCGTGTGTGTGTGTGTGTGTGTGTGTGTGTGTGTGTGAAGTACTGTGAAGTCTCTTCTGATTTATGTTGACCCTACGTGAATTAATGTCCTCCAAAATCTCCTGTGGTTAACAGCCATTCTTCAGTTCTTGTGAACTGAGGACTGTGACTTCCTGGATGAAGTCAATCCACCTCCTGTTTGGTCTCTGTCTATTCCTTCGACTTCCCACTTTTCCTTGCATTCCTAAAGCAACAGCTTTAGTTGTTGTGGATTTCCCGGGCTGCACGGCCGTGTTCTTGGCCTTGCAAGGACCTGACGTTTCGCCAGCAGCTGTGACTGGCACCTTCAGAGGTATGACACCGAAAGATGGAGTGCTCTCTCTGTCTCTGTGACAAAGGCTTGGTGTCTGGAAAAAGACTTTCAATATCTTGTTTGGGAGTCTGCTCCTGTGACGGACTAGATTGTATTATGTAATCTGTAGCTTCTGGCAATTAGATGGAGAAGACACTCTATGGCTGCGGTCACATGGAGCATTAGCCACACTACAGAGACGGAAGATAAGCGGATTTTCTGGGCGCGATCACACCGCAACATCTGGGAAGCGTAGAGCTCCCGTGGCTCACTTGAGGCTTCCCGCCGAAGATGCAGCTTGAAAAACTAGTACCTCCGAGGTACTAGTTTCCGGAAACGGCGGGGCAAGGGCGGGCGTCTGATCGCGTTTCCGGTGGTAGGTCGTGGCATCCGGCGCCCGCCCATGTCCTGTCGCTAAAACTTTCCCCCCCAAGTCTCCACGGGATGCGCACAAGCACCCAACGGCGCATGCTCACACTTCGTACAAAAACAAACAACACAGCCCCCTCCTCTTTTCCGTACCCCCCCCCACTCCTGGCTCGGCCTGCTCGAGAGGAACTCTCTGCACCGGGCGGCAGAGGGGGAGGTGCAGGGGGGGGCGTGGAGGGAGGGTGGCCCGGCTGAATCTCCTCCTGGAGGGGACAGGACGGAGGACACAGTTTGCATTCCTCTGCAGCCCTGGAAGGGGTTAAACCCGCGGAGCCTTTTGCTAGAGAGGCCGCTTCTTTGCCGCGCCGCAGGATTGTCCTGTGATCAGCACCTCCCCCCTAACCATGAGACCTCGACGGGACCGTCTGATTGCACAGCCGTGCATTATTTTGCTCCGGGGCAAACAGCCATGCTTCCCCCCCACATTTTCTGGCCTGTGTGACTGGGGCCTCTGTGTCTCTGTGTCAACCTTATACTTTGACACAGAGAGCACTCCATCTTTCTGTGTCACACCTCTGAGGATGCCAGTCACAGCTGCTGGCGGAACGTCAGCTCCTACAGTGCCAAGACCACGGCGGTACAGCTCGGAAAATCCACAACGACGAATGAACTCTGGCCATGAAAGCCTGCGACAACTATAGCCAGTTTGGTGTAGTGGTTAAGTGCGCGGACTCTGATCTGGGAGAACCGGGTTTGATTCCCCACTCCTCCACTTGCACCTGCTGATGTGACCTTGGGTCAGTCACAAGCTCTGGCACAGCTGTTCCTGAAAGAGCAGTTTGTGTCGAGAACTCTCTCAGCCCCACCCACCTCACAGGGAAAGGAGTTTGTAAGCCGCTCTGAGACTCCAAGTGAAGGGCTGGGTATAAATCCAACCTCTTCTTCTTCTTCAGTGACTCTTGTCTTCTTGTGATGTGATCAAAGCACAATAGCCTCACTTTAGTCATTTTAGCTTCTAGAGAGAGTTCAGGCTTGATTTTGGTTTGATTCCAACTTATTTGCCTTTCTCGCAGTCCATGGTATCTGTAAAAGTCTCCTCCAGCACCACATTTCAAAGGAATCAACTTTCTCCCTGTCACCTTTCTTCAGTGTCCAGCTTTCACACCCATACATAGTAAATGGGGAATGCTGTGGCAGGAATTCTCTTGATATTGGTTGCCAGCAGTGTTCCCTCTAAGCTGAGTGAGTGTGAGCCAGCTCACAGTTTTTTAGCCTCCGGCTCACACTTCTTTTTTTTCTCAGCTCAGAAAGGAGGGCGCCAAAGCAAACTAATTTATGCAGGAGCCAAATCGCTCGCTCACAACTTCAATGCCAGTAGCTTACAAAGTAGAATTTTTGTTCACAAGACTCCACAGCTTGGAGGGAGCATTGGTCTACTTAACTGATAGCACAATCAACAGTATGTCTACATGTTTTAAACCAATCCTATGTGACATAAGGAGCTGCGGTGGCTCAAGTGGTTAAGACGCTGAACTGCAGGCTGTGGAAGGTCGGTAGTTCAGCAGTTCGAGACCTGAGTGTGCCGCATGACGGAGTGAGCTCCCATCTCTAGTTCCAGCTCCAGTTCGATAAATAGGTACCACTTCGGTGGGAAGGTCACAGCGTTCCGTGCGCCTTGGTGTTGAGTCATGCCGGCCACATGACCACTGAAACATCTTCGGACAGCGCTGGCTCTTCAGCTTTGAAACTGAGATGAGCACCGCAAACCCTAGAGTCGGACTCAACTGGCTTTCGAGCAAGGGAACCTTTACCTTTATGTGACATAAACATTTTTAAGCAACTGAAACAAAAATAAGCAAACAAATAAAGCAAAAGGGAACTGAAAGGGAAAGAATTCCTAATGATTAAGAAATCCTTACATTTGTAGTACAAACATTTTGTTTTTAAATCCATTTGTGACATTGGGCCCATTCAGAAGAGATAAATTGTTGTTGGGAGAAGTAGTCAAGCACTGGGAACCATTTGTCTGTAAAGGTTGTTAGAGTTGGTCTCTAAGACAAGTAATTTAGTTTATTTGTGACTGCATCCATTAAGTAGTGTCTCCATAGTTTCCTACACCATACCTCTATATTGGGTGCTTTATTATCCTTCCAGTACGACGCAATCACAGTTTTTTGCTGCATACAGCATGACTTCCACCGTAGCTTTGTGCGGTCTAGACGACAGATCCTTTGGCCAGGTATTCAAAAATAAAACTCCTGGGGTTAGCGGGATTTGTATTGAGGTAATCGCTTGGATTACACTCAACACATCTGTCCAAATTTTTTTTAATTCTGGCACACACTTGAGGAACTTTTCTAACTGCTTTACGGCAGCCTCTCCCAGTTTCCATCTCCTTCCGATTTCCTGGGTGCAGTCTCCCTTTTGGTTGGCGATGGAGCCAAGAGGTGGCTAAACTGGTTCATGACCTGATTTCAGGATTCCCCTTTTCCCCCTGTGTGCTCATGCCAAGTATGGCAAAATGACAAAGAATGAGGGATCTACTTGTTCCTCCTGTCCTCACTGGGAGGCAGTGAGGAATTGCCCTCTTCCCAATCCTTTCCCCCATCATTCCTTTTACAGCTGGAGTTTACTCTCCACTGCCCCCATCTGGCTTGAATTAGACTTCCCGTCTGTCTGCTGGCAACCACACCATAAAAGAATCAGCCAACAGAGTGGCAGCCCGTCCACTAGGTGGCCCTAGGCAATTGCCTAAGCGGCCAGCTGTGGAAGGGTACCAGTCAGATCTATCCCCGTCCCCGACTCTGCTCTGCCACCATCTCTAGCCTGGCTGCCCACCAGGATATCTAAGCATAGGGAAACTCAAAAAGGAAAAGGGGGGGGGGGAAATCCCTCTTTCAAAAAACCCTAGATCTAAAACTTACCTCTGTAATGTTAAGGAGAAAGAGCGTCATAGTTTCAGCTTTCTTGTTCTCCTTAGACTACCTTCTTCTCCTTTGGTGCAGTGGTGTAGTGCAGTTTGGTGTAGGGGTTAAGTGCACGGACTCTAATCTGGGAGAACCGGGCTTGATTCCCCACTCCTCCACTTGCACCTGGCTGGATGACCTTGGGCAAGCCGTGGCTCTAACAAGAGCTGTTCTTGAGAAAGAGCCATTTCTGTCAAGAGCTCTCTCAGCCCCACCTCCCTCCCAGGGTGTCTGTTGTGGGGAGGGGAAGGGAAAAGGAGTTTGTAAGCCACTCTGAGACTCCGTTGGGTAGTGAAGGGCGGGGTATAAATCCAATCTCTTCTCTCTTCTTCTTCAGACCCTCTGCCATGTTTGTCGGACAAACGTGTCAGTCCCTACACAAAAGAATAACTGGCCCTGAGAGTGGCAGTCCTTAAACAGTGAAGCTTCAAGGACAAATTAAAATGCATGATTGCTGAACTTAAGTCCAGTCACAAATTCAGAACAATCCCCCACCACCACCACCACTGGACAGTGACATGGGATTCTTATCTCACGGATGCTAATTTTCTGCCCTTAAGCATTTCTGTTCTCCTCTTAAGCATTTCTCCTTTCTTCTAATCCAGCTAATTACAATGTGCATGGTACCTTTGCATCCTGAGTCCTGTTTTCGCAGTACCCCTCCCACCCTCTGACTGGGATATAAAGACAGAGAGATCTCCATTCTGAATTAAATATGATGAAGGGAGCCTTATGGTCAAAGACCGGCCTCCTGATGGACCACTTTTCCCCGCATGTCCCCCAGAGAGCACTGCGATCAGGATCCCAAAACCTCCTGGACCTCCCTGGCCCAAAGGAAGTCAGGTTGATGGCAACCAGGACTAGGGCTTTTTCATTTGTCGCTCCGTCCTATTGGAACGAGCTTCAGGAGGGAAAACACCCACCTAGAAGGAGGGATAATTCCAGTCTTTTACAAGGGGATGACTCTCTACGGCAAAACATATGTCTAGGAGACAACAGGGATGAAGCAGAAGATCACAGATTGATGGATATATGTTCAGATGTGAAAGAGATGTTTGAATATTTGGGTGCACCGAGTGAGGAGGAGGGAAAACACCCACCTAGAAGGAGGGATAATTCCAGTCTTTTACAAGGGGATGACTCTCTACGGCAAAACATATGTCTAGGAGACAACAGGGATGAAGCAGAAGATCACAGATTGATGGATATATGTTCAGATGTGAAAGAGATGTTTGAATATTTGGGTGCACCGAGTGAGGAGGAGGGAAAACACCCACCTAGAAGGAGGGATAATTCCAGTCTTTTACAAGGGGATGACTCTCTACGGCAAAACATATGTCTAGGAGACAACAGGGATGAAGCAGAAGATCACAGATTGATGGATATATGTTCAGATGTGAAAGAGATGTTTGAATATTTGGGTGCACCGAGTGAGGAGGAGGGAAAACACCCACCTAGAAGGAGGGATAATTCCAGTCTTTTACAAGGGGATGACTCTCTACGGCAAAACATATGTCTAGGAGACAACAGGGATGAAGCAGAAGATCACAGATTGATGGATATATGTTCAGATGTGAAAGAGATGTTTGAATATTTGGGTGCACCGAGTGAGGAGGAGGGAAAACACCCACCTAGAAGGAGGGATAATTCCAGTCTTTTACAAGGGGATGACTCTCTACGGCAAAACATATGTCTAGGAGACAACAGGGATGAGGGCACTGCAAGCAGGGAAGATTTCAGTGAAATATCAGTTACTAATATTCAACAAAGGATGTGTAACAGAGAGAAAATATATAAATGCCTGGAGTGTGGAAAAAGTTTCAGGCAGAAAGCACACCTTACTTACCATGAAAGAATTCACACGGGAGAGAAACCATATAAATGCTTGGAGTGTGGGAAAGGCTTCAGTCAGAGTTCCAGTCGTACTTCTCATCAAAGAATTCATGCAGGGGAGAAACCATACAAATGCCTGGAGTGTGGGAAAAGCTTCAATCGGGGTGACTGCCTTATTTCCCATCAAAGAATTCACACAGGGGAGAAACCATATAAATGCCTGGACTGTGGGAAAACCTTTGGTGAGAATTCCGGTCTTACTTCCCATCGAAGAATACACACAGGAGAGAAACCATATAAGTGCCTGGAGTGTGGAAGAAGCTTCAGTCAGAGTTCCAGTCTTACTTCTCATCAAAGAATTCACACAGGGGAGAAACCATATAAATGCCTGGAATGTGGGAAAAGCTTCTATGAGAGTGGAAAACTTACTTCTCATCAAAGAACTCATACAGGGGAGAAACCATATAAATGTGTGGAGTGTGGGAAAAGCTTCAGTCAAAGTAACACTCTTAATTACCATCGAAGAATTCACACAGGAGAAAAACCATATAAATGCCTAGAGTGTGGGAAAAGCTTCAGTCGGAGTGACAGTTGTATTTCCCATCAAAGAATTCACGCAGGGGAGAAACCATTCAAATGCTTGCAGTGTGGAAAAAGGTTCCTTCGGAGTGCACACCTAACTTCGCACCAAAGGACGCACACAGGGGAGAGGAAATACGTTGCATATTAATGATTTTAATTAGATTCATGAATATTTATACATTATGAATTTTCATACCCTTTGTATAGCTCAATTCCTGTTCAGAAAAAGTACCAAAAGTTCAGAACCGCCTCTCAACCTTGACAGTTCTTTAGAATAACGGAAGAAATACCGTGTTTCCCCGAAAATAAGACATATATTTATTTTTTCTCAAGAAGACACACTAGGGATTATACCACAAATGCATAGAAATCCTGCTAGGGCTTATTTTGGGGGTAGGTCTTATTTTCGGGAAAACAGGTAGGAGATTCATCACTCTGGAATTACAACCAACTGGTGTGTTTTGTCTTAGAACCTTTCTTTGATAATTTAATGGCAGTTATCAAGATGTATTCTAGTCCACCTAGTATAGTTACTTGTTTGCACAATCACTTAAGGGTCCAATTGTTTTATTTGGAGGACAAATAAAGTTTTATTTCTCTTCCTGTGTCACCTCTTTCAAAAGTGTTGCATAAGGATCTAATTAGGCTTTCTACTGGTGGCTTCCGATCAGAAAAGACCTTCTATTGGGTGAGCCTATCACGTGTGCCAGGCCTTCCCATTGTACATTGTACATAGCTTATCAACTTAAGAACTGACTTGCCTAAATCTTAGAGAATTGTAACGTTTGTGTATTTAGCGAAGTTTGAGAAATGTTAGTAGACCTGATTCTTATTGCGAGCATTTCTCTGTACTCGTATGATTAACTTTCACCTGTTCATCAGATTCTTGCCTAATACAAAAAGCATGCTTTATTTTAAATAAAAACATTCTCTCTAAGAAGGCCAGTGTTTGTACTACCGACAGAAGACCTGAAATCAGACCTCAAATCTTTCATTGTCCTGGAAGAGATAGGTCTCTCAGAAAGTTTGCTTAATGTAATGTAATAGTGGATGTAGAAGTAATTGTAAGCATTACCTTCATTGAGCCCCTTTCCTATTCGCTGTCTCTGCACCCCTTTCCCTTTACAATATTCAATAAAAATCTAACAATTTTTTTTTTGTTTAATGTGTCCTTGGTGACTTTTATACTACAACCACAAATAGACTAACAACAGTGTTCCCTCTAAGCTGAGTTAGTGTGAGCTAGCTCAGTTTTTTAGCATTATTATTATTATTATTATTATTATTATTATTATTATTATTATTATTATTATTATTATTATTATTATTATTAATAATAATAATAATAATATCCCACCCTCCCCAAAGGCTCAGGGCGGCTAACAAGGGCATAATTCCAGGTTAAAACAATAAAATAATATAAAATTACAGTAATACAATATAATACAATTAATAAAATATCAGTGCTCCAGTAATCACTCCAGTCATAAAAACTAAGATGGTGTTCTGGAGATGTTATAGCAGAACAACAGCCATATGTCCCCGCAGCCCTGTCATCCACCAGGAACGTCTTGCACCCCCGATGACACCCGCTCAAGCGGTGGTAAAAGTACGGCGATGGAAAGAGCGGTGGTGGAATAATGGTGGCGGCGGCTCCTACTCGAAAGCCTGGCGGAAGAGCTCCGTTTTGCAGACCCTGCAGAACTGCACAAGGTCCCGCAGGGCCAGGCTCTCTTCTGGGAGCTCGTTCCACCAGGTAGGGGCTGCCACCGAAAATGCCCTGGCCCTGGTGACAGCTAGTTTGCTGTTCCTGGGGCCTGGAATATCCAGGAGATTTTGATTCCCCGACCGTAGTGCCCTTGGGGGAACATGCGGGGAAAGGCGGCCTTCGGCTCACACGGTTTTGTCTTAGTTCAGGAAGGAGGGCTCCAGAGCAAAGTAATTTATGCAGCAGCCAAATCGCTCGCTCACAACTCTAATGCCACTAACTCACAAAGTAGGATTCTTGCTCACAAGACTCCACACCTTAGAGGGAGCCTTGTCTACGATCGCTCACGATAAAGGACTCAATCCAAGTGCTGTACAAAACATGGACTATTGTTCCAAAAATATATATTTCTGCATCATTTTCTTCATACAAAAACATTACAAGGACACACAGTCTCAAAAACTGGAACACAAAGGCAATGTAGGTTTAAAGACACTATATATACAGTCAGGGGACACTTCGTACAAAAAGAGCTGCAGGAGCTCATTAGCGTACCTAATAGGCTATTAGCATAATGTTTCCATTAGCATATCCCATGCCCCCTGACATCACCGGAAGTGATGTCAGAATGGGAAGCAAAAGGGGGGGGAGGCATCTTCAAAAGCCTCCCCTTCCCCAGGAGGGCTGGGGGGGGAGCGAAGAGAGAAGGGGTTTAAAGTTTGAAGATGCCTCCCCCCCTTTTTTTGCTTCCCCAGTCAGTCTGCCAAGGCGGGATGCGGGGGAAGTGAAGAGAGAAGGGGTTTAAACTTTAAAGCCCTCTCTGGAGTCGCGCCACAGTGGTGGCACGATCTTCCCATTATATTCTATGGGGCTGCTGCGGCACAACTCTAGAGAGAAGGAGCTGGGGGCGTGGCTTGTGCCCTCCTGGGCGGCCGGAGCAGTGCTCCAGCATGCTCCAGCCCCAAATGATCCCTGTATACAGTCCAATATCTTGTGCCTAGGCACTCAATTCCAAAATAAAGTCCAACAGTTTAACTCCCACGTTGCCTGACCAGTCTGTGACACTGCGTTTTCTTTCAATCTTGAGATCTAGATTTTGTTCTAGAGGAAAAAATCTCTTTCATTTGCAGGATCAATTTTATCTCCATATCCGTGGAGTAGCCATGGGCAGTCCTGTGGCTCTGTCAATTGCCTGGTTATTTACAGCAGAGTTTGAAACGAATGAGAATTACAATCCTGAGATTAATCCATTTTGCAATCGGATTATAAAATATTTCAGGTTTGTGGATGATATGTTTCTTAATTTTTAAAGGAGAGAAGTTTGCTGATTTTGTTGAATGGTAGACTAATAGGCATATCACTATTGAATTCTCTGGCACTCGGGATTTAGTAACTATGACTTTTTTGGATACAAGAGTTTATACAAATATTAATAATAGTTCGGCAATTAGTACTTTAAAAAAGGAAACAGATAAAAATGCACTATTGCATTATACTTCACACCATCCTATAGGTTTATAATATAACCTTCCATTCAGCCAATTATTAAGAATAAAAAGAAATTCCTCTTCAAGAGGAGATTATTTGAAAGATAGCTGGAGGTTAAAAGAAAAATGCATTCAAAGAGGATTCCCTAAAGTAGTAGTTGAAAGAGCCAGCCAAAGAGCTAAGAATATTGACTTTATTATAACAACAGAATAAAGAGGTAGATCAGATAAATAGAATTACAGGGGCTCTTAAAGATACCTCAAAGACTTTATAAAGTCAAGAAAAAAATCAGGTACCACTGGCATCTGTTAGAAGAGACAAGAGGGGGACCCGTGATACTCGTGGGGGGGGGAGAAGAGCTCCGTCTCCTCCATCCCCCCCTCGATCTCCCTGAGGCGGCGGCGGTGAGGCCGGTGCCCCCCCGCCCGCCCGCCCACCGGCTCC